AATTAAGAAAACAAAGACTTTACTATTGCCACATCACTATGGATTGCCTGTGTACCTAGCAGGAACTGCGTCATGAACTCAGCCACAACCCAGCATGTGAAGATACAGTAACGTCTGACCTGGCCCCGGGCTCCCCTACCACCACATCCCAGGACAAATAAGCCTCACGCCCAAACACAGAGCAGCCAGGAGCACCTTGTTGTATGGGACAGAGGCAGTTATTTGATGAAAAATAGACAATTTTTGGCTTCCCCCAAGAACGGTGAGATAGCAGGGCAATTTCCAAATGGAAACATAGATGGATTGGGTGAGACCCTTCAGCCTGACTCAGCTATTTAAAGAGCCCAAATAGAAAAAGCACGGGTCCTTGCAGAGCCTCAGTTTACCCATCTGTAAAGCAAGAGGTTAGACAAGATGCCCCAAGCTGGAATCATCTATGAAGGTGGGGACTGGAGTCTGAGGCAGAATCTGAGAGAGCTGTCAACTTCCTACACCCCGCCAGGCACAGGCAGGCGCTTTTCTCCCAACTTCCACTGATTGGACCAGGAGTGGTTTTTCCCAAGGACTTAAGGAACTCACTCAAGAGTTTTAATTACTCTTTTGAGTCAGACACATTAGTCCACAGAGAAAGGCAAGCCAGGAAATCCCCGTCTACCAACATACACTTCACAAGATGCTACCTTGGTAGAAGAAACCCAAGGCTAGTTTGATGGTGGCGTGGGAGGGAGCAATGGGCCCTTTCCATCATAGAGGCTGTCACTGCGGTGTCTAGAACTCCCAGCTGCTTTGACGCATTTCTTTCCATCCTACAGAGCAGACATAGCTGGACTTTACACAGGGAAGAAATGCATAAAAGGTTTTAGCTGGTGGACTGGAACCGTGTTCCCAACCCAGATGCAATGACTCCAAAGTCACACCTTTCCATCTCTTGGGGTGCTTGTTCTGCCACCCAAATCTGCTCTGCTCAACTCCAAGATGGAAAAGGAGGTTGTGAGAAGAGCCCAGAGCTTCTGGGATAACCCAGATGGTGGTGAGGGGAGCAAGTTAGGAGCCTTGATTCTGCACCCTCTCCTCTTGGAAAAAGAAAGACCAGCTTGGCTTTAAATGGTTTTATTAAAAATTGTACCAATTGATGGGGGGAGGGGAAATATACACACACATATATGCATGTGAAGAACATAAAGCCAGGACTCTGTACAGATGAAAAGATAAGGGGTCCCCATGCCTTCCCCTCTCCCCAAGGCAGAGTCCCCAGACCCCAGGGCCACCATCTGGGGGATGAATGAAATGCTACATCTCACTGGGTGTCCCCCGGACAGTCTCTGGGGATCCAGGTATGGGGTAGACCACTGGATGATGCCCTGGAGTGGGGAGAGGGACTGGCTACCCATGCAGAACAGGGCAGTGCAGACCCAGGATCCCATGCTCTGGACACTTTCCGGGAGGCTGGGCCTCAGTGGAACAGCTCAACTGTCTCTGCTATTCCCTTAAGACTGGGTACCCCCTGGCCTGCTGCCCACAGAGGGCTGAGGACTGACACCTTCTGATAGGGTGTCTGGCCTCAGTGGCCTGCCACCAAGGGCCCTCATCTTCACAGAGACACCATGGCTTTCTCCAGCTGGACAGAAGCCCTGCAGAGCCATGGAGACTGAAGTCTTCTGCTACTCTGAGTTCTCCCCACCCTGCTCTCTCACAAGTCCCCACAAAAGAAAGCTCCTTGCTTGCTGACTACAGTCTTGGTGGCTTCACAGCCCCTTTTCTGGAAAGCTTTGGGCAAAGGGAGGCCCTGGCTGGACCATGTCCCAACACCCCCAACACCACCTTGAGCTGGATGGCTGAGGACAGCCTGGCAGGTCAGCCAGGCCCCTCTCAGCCCTGGAAACAAGCCTGACAAAGCTCTGGACACAGCCCTACTCCCTGGGGGCTGAAGGTCACAGGGAGGTGATCTTTTTCCACCTCAGATTAAGCAGCCAGACCTTTTTTTTTTTTGGGTGGGGGGAGGGTTTTGAACTGAGGACTTCACACTTGCAGAGTGGACGCTCTACCAGTTGAGCCACACCTCTAAGTCCTGTTTGCTCTGGTTGTTTTAGGAGATGGGGGTCTCATGAACTATTTGCCTGGGCTGAACAACCAGACTAAAACAGGCAAGGCAGAGGAGCCCGGCAGACTCCTCCTTGCAGGGGAAGCCAATGTCTGGCTTCAGGGGTCCCCTTCCCAGAACTGGCTACTGGCCTCTAGAAACCCCTACTGGGGGTCTTCAATTCAAGGGCTATTTGGACCCTGAAATACCAGGCTTCTCTCCTCTAGGGCATTTCTGCACTGAGGAAGGGGGTCCAGCCCCTCTCCCATCCCCACCCTCAGCACTCCACAAAAACCCCACTGCCTTCAGCTGGTCACAGGTCAGGACCCAAGTCAGACTCCTCCTCCCTCCAACTAGAGACAGCCAGGCTCCTGGGGTGGAGGATGGGAGCAGACCTGGGGGAGGGGCGCTTCCTGAGGCTGACTTGGGGAATGTAAGGCCAATTCACCAGGGAAGGGAAGGGGCCAGTCTGGATCACTAGGCCAATTAAGAGTCAGCCAGGGGATCTCTTCCTTTTGGGCCTGGGCTGCCACTTGTTTCCTGGTGTTTTGGAGGTTGTTTTGTTTTGCAGTGCTGGGGATCCAATTCAGGGTCCCACGCATGGTTGCAAGCGCTCTACCATGGAGCCACATCTCCAGTCCAGTTTGGGACATGGGTGGGAGAGAGAGAAGAAAGGGGGTTTAAATTTTGCCCTGGCTCACCTAAGATAGTGAGTTAGCTCCTGGCTTGGCATAAGATGGAGACAGTGCATTCAGACCAGCTTCCACCTGGCCCAGGCTCAATGTTCAGGTGGGTTTGTCAAACTCTGGGCTCAGTTTTCAGGACAGGACATGAGGCATGTCCTGGGCCTGGCAGGGTCTTTGAAACCGAAGGCTTGGCCTCATCACCGAAGTCAGGACTGCTTTCTCTCTCAGCTCAGATGGAAAGGCTGCTGCAGAGAGGGGTTAAAAGTGGCTGGTGTACATAATCCTCTGTGTGTGTGTTGGGAGCGGGGCAGGGGGGGGGGCAGGGTGTACCACTCAAGCATACACCAGCAGTCTGCCTGTCACAGCCTTCATCCAGGAGAGAGGGGAGAACATTTTGCACATCCTAAATGACATGGAGACACGAGGAAGGTTGGGCTCACAATGGTCACTGTGTCCCAGAGCCACTCTTCATATCCATTCCCTGTGCTCCTCCTTGCAAGCAGGAACCCATCTTCTCAGCAGACAAACCATCTACACACCCTGAGAAAATGATTCTGGCCAAGAAGAGGTAATATCTCCAGTTCATCTGAGCAGAAAACAAAGGCTCACACGCACAGTCTGGGGTCCTTCTCAGGACCACTGTGAGTGCATGTGGTGCCTTTGTGCAAATTAGAAAAGGCACCCCTTATTGTGCAGAAGCAGCCTCACATCAGGGTCCACAGTTTAGAGAGCTGGGCACAGGCTGGACTCAAGCCTCTGTTAGCTATTAGCTCCCTCCATAGGTGCCCTGTGCAATGAGCAACCTGCTCAATTGTATATCTGGAAGATCAATTGTCCATCAACAGCAGTGAAAACCTTCTCTCTGAAGAACTAGAGGAGCTTGGGCTTGTTCTGATGGAAGAGTTCACTCTAAACTCCTCCTCCGATTTCCTTGAGTAACTCTGGGGTCTTCTCTGCCCAGGGAAGCCATCTTTTCTTTGGGCCTTGCGTCATCTTTAGCACCAATTTTCTTACATATGCAAAAATTATCATTTAATTTCTAGGTGTCTGGTTAACAGATTCCCTGCATGTGCCAGCAGAGCTGTCAATCAGCTGCTTTAAACTCCCTCCCTCCCTTAGAGCCTCGGCAGGGAGAGAAGGGAAGCCGTTCAGAGACAGCTGGGATCCTGCTGGGATCCAGAGCCTGTTCTTCCGGAAGCTGAAGAAGACAGGAAATGTGTTCCCAGCTGTGATGGTTCCACACTCTAATCATGGTCTATTACTCCAAAAGTCACTTTTCAGCTGACAAAGCCACTGTCCTGGCTTTTTCCTGTATCCCACTAGGTATGAAAAAGGAATGGGGATAAAGGGAGGAGGTACATGTTTCCAAGGAAACCAAGTGGTCTGGGGTGCTCTGGGGCTGACTCCTACCAGTGGGAGGGCTTCCACATTCCCCAGTCCCACTGAAAACCTGCCCCTTTGTGTCCCACAGTGCTGATTCTGGGGATGGATGCAGTCCAGTTGGCTGGGGACAAAGGCACAAGCTGCTAGGTACAGCGCAGTGGCTGGCTATTCAGCTCATCTGTGGGTGATACCCAGTTGGACCCAGGAGACAGAGGTGGCAGTGGTTCTGCACCTGGGGGTCAATCCACATGGGACCCATTCAGACTTCAGGCTTACCAAAAAACTTGGTTCAATTCATGGCACCTTTGAGGGGTCCTTGTAGAGACCCAATCCTCCCTGAGCTCTGCTGGAGGTGGCAGGGCCTGGGCAAGGATCCCTGAGCCATAGGGGTGGGCATTGGCTGGACCAGGTGAGAGCTCAGATGTGCAGCTGGCTGGCTGGCCTAAGGACACTGGCATCCCTAGCTGGGAAGCCCCTGGCCATGGTCCTGGGGGGTGAAGCAGTGGAGCCATCAGGATGACAGCTCCACTAACTGGGGAAGTCTGACAGATTTGGTGGAACTGGGAGTCTAACGCAGTCTCCTGCTTCTGAACTGAGTTCCTGTAGAAAAGTTTTAGTTCACTTCCTGGAGCCATTGCTTGACTGGTCACCTTCCAACACTGTTGACCAAAGAATCCACTTGTCAGCCCTTGGGAGTTCCCACCACAGAGAGGCACATCAGCCTCTCTTTCAACAGTGTTTGACAAAGGCCCCATTCCTGGTTGAGGCCCTGAACAGGGAAGGAAGGTCCCACTGGGGCATGTCGTATGTACATAGAGAAAATTTTAAAATAAAAACAAAAAACAACTTCACGAGACACAGTGGCAGTCCTCCTGTTCCGACGTCCTTCCTGTTCCAGACGTTGTTCCTGGTGCCTCATGAGACATGAGATGGACAAGGGGGGGCCCAGTCTCACCTGGGACCTGCCCCATCCCTGTTCTCTCCTCTGTTCAAGGCAAGGTTGTGCAGGAAGAGGAGAATTTGCCACCAGGCACGGTCCCGGTGCTGCTGTCGCTGGAAAGAAAAGAGACCACCTCAATGCCAAACGCCCCTAACATGACAGGTTCCTTACCACTGCAGATAAAAGGTCACATCTATAGGTCACAAGACACCGCTTGCATGCAATCAGTCCAACACACTGCGGCGGGGGGCGGCGGTGAGAAGGGGTACACGAGGGGGCCGGGAGGAGATAACTGGATTCTCCAAAAACAATTGCAGTTTTAACATTCAAAAGAAAAGACCAGGCTCCGTGTGCACCACGCACAGAGGATTAGACTGTTCTCCCTGCTCACAGGATTTTCCAGAGTTTAGCCAAGTGCTGCTTTTAATCAGATTGGCTCCTGAGCCCCCCAACCTCAGCTGCATGAACCACAAACTTGCTTCAGAGAGAAAGAGAAGGTCCCCTCCCCCCACGCCAAAGTAACACAGAGAACAAGGGGGAAACAGGGGGAGTGCCTCCATCTGCAAGTGATTTGACACTGTGAAGGTCAAAGGGTTAATCTTCAATTTAAACCACACTGCTGAAGCAGCAAAAATGTGATTTCATCCAGTACACACCACACACACACACACAACACACCACACACACACACACACACACACACACTTACTTGTGCACCCCGCTCTCCCCCTCCCCAGCATCTCCAGCTCAGGGCTGCCCTTTTTATAGCGGCTCTTGACAGTAAGTCATAAATAATCCCTCTTGGAGCACTTTCCTACTGACTGGAGCCAATTAAACGTTAAGCAAGAACATACTTGAAATCAAAACAAAAACAAAGAATGCACACCACGCTCTGGAGGTTATCCCAGGTCCTACTGTCAGGCTAGGAAGCAGAGGCAAAGTTCAGAGTGCAGTGGCTCACAGGTTGCTGCCTGGTATATCCTGCCCAAACAGGTACCTTTTCTCAGGGGCCAGAAGAGGCCTGGAAGGGACAAGTGGGTGCTGGAAGAGGCAGTCTTTGTTCTTTCCTTGTTGGCCAGAAGAGGAGGACTGGGTTGGGGCCTCTCCACAGGGTTCTTGGTGGATAGGGGGGATAAATATCCTAGTGTGCTGAGAAGGGCCAGCATGGACTGGCGTTGGATTCCTTCAGTGGTCCAGCCAGCGAGCAAGCGTGTTGAAGGATGCAGAAGACCTGGACCCCATTTCTTTGAATGTCAACGCCATTGGCCCCCACCCAGCAATCCCTAACCACAGGGGAAAAGGACAGAGTAAGTCAGTGAGACAACTGGACCATGGGCCCAGGTTTCCTGGACTCACCAGTGCTTCGAGGTTCCATCCGGCCCCAGTCTCCCTGACCTCTTCCCATGCAACCCGCACGGTTCTCAGTCACAAAGAGTTGTGCAGTGTCCACCCTAGGCTGACCTCAGGGCCGGGCCGACCCAGGTGAACACAGAACAAGCCATATTCACGGCCGGAGCACTCCTCTTTCCCCTATGGAAGAGACTGGAAAACAACCTGCAGGCTGGGGGCACCGCGCCTGCCAGCCGGGTAAGGGAAGTTGGGCGTGCCACAGAGAGGCCTGGCAGACTCACTGGGGAGACTGATGGCTTCCTCGTGTTTTGTAAACAAAGATGAGTAAAAAGAGGAAACACACCCGGCTTAGCAAAATCTGGTTAGAGTAGAACAGCGTGAAAATGGACGCAGCTGTGAACCTGGAAACTCAGGCCTGCAGCAGCTGGGCACAGGACCCCTTCGCTGCCTCCCCTCCCCAGCAGCTGCCCAGGACAGGTGCAAAGGTCATGTGCAGAACAGGAGACTCCAGGAAAAGACGGTGCATTCCACATCTCCCAGGTGCCTGTTTAGAAAGGCCAAGTGGCAAAGACGAGCGTGAAGCAGCAGTATTAACTGTGGAGTGTGTGCCAGTCTCCACACCGAGTGCTCCAAGCCTTTGCTTCTCAAAGTGCAGTCCCTGGGCCAGCAACCTCAGTGTCACCTGGGAGCTCACTACAAATGCAGACCCACCAAATTAGATGGGCTCCCCAGGTGTCTGGGAAGCCCTCTTCTGTGCATCTTAAACTCCTGTGCTCCTCTCAAAACCCTGCGAAGTGGGTATACATTATCATTCCTGCCACGCATAATGAGAGTTAGGTAACAGTCACCACTGAGGTGGGAAGTGGCAGGGCTAGAGCAAATCCAGACTGTCTGGAAGAGAACTATCTGACCCTACAGAAATACCCTTCTTTCTTCCCTTTTTTTTTTGGAGCGGGGTGAGGTGTCCTACTATGAATTGAACTCAGGGCCTTCTACTACTTGCTCCACACCCCCAATCCTCTTGCCTTCGGTTTGTTTTTCAGATAGGCTCTCCAGCTTTTGCCCTCGTGCTGAGATCTTCCTACTTAGCCTCCCACGTAGCTGGGATTACAGGGCATGTGCCACCATGTATGCTGCTTATCTTTCTTTACACCAAAGCAGATTTTCCCGCTTTGCCGCCATTAAATCATCCCAAAACACTTCATTGGCCAATGATTTGGGGCCTGGGCCAGTCCTATCTCTGACTGTTTTAATTCCTCCCAAAATCCACTAATAGAGGCCACCTCTGCCTGGGTAATTTCCTGGGTCCTGTAGTCTCTGGGGATGAAGCTAGGCAATTGCCTTATTCCATCTTTTGCGGGTGTGTGGGGCCGTAGAAGCAGCTGTGGCCCAGTGAGTATTCAGACAGACGGCTGAAGGTTTGCAAGGGACTTGGGCAGGCATAAGTATGGGAGGCAGCGCACACCAGCCAATCCATGGGAAGAATCCCGTTCTGTGGCTCTGCCTGCGACAGTCCTCAGTGGAAGGAAGGTACCAAGGGTGGTGACTGGATCCTGACACTGGAATCCCAGGGCCTGGCTTTAGGCTGGATCTCCCACTAACCTTGCTTGATTTGTAAGGAAAACGCAGGTGTCATATTAGGTCCTTGGTTTCCGAACCCAAGCATGTCACAAAAGCAGGTGAGATGCTGCTGTAAACAGAGTCCTCAGCCCCTCCTAGCTACAGGGTCAGATTCTCCAGGGAAGGGGTCCAGGAAATTTATATACTGAACCAGCTCCCTAGGTCACATTTTAAAAATCAGAAGTAACATTTATTGTACCTATTAATCGCAAAAACAAAGCTGGAAAATGCAAGAAATTACAGAGGAGAAGGTAAAATCACTTATAGCCCTACAACCTAGAAGAAAAAAACCACTTGATAATTTGCTGCCTTCTTCAGTGGCTTCCAACCTTTTTTCACCAAAGCAATGCCTTGCCCTGTGGCCAAGCCTGGGGTAAATTCTGTCCAGGTGTCTCTAGAGCAGCCAGGCCACAAACAGGCTCTTGGAAACCACTGAGAGGTTTGTCACCACAATTATCTTTAGGATCATAATTCAGCATGCCAACGACTGAATCCCACCAGCCTTGTAGGGCCTAGGTGGTTCTGGAGCCCAGCAAGGGAGGCCTGGGGGCCCATCCCAGGCCCAGGAGCCCTCCCTGGGCTCCAGCAGAGCCACACATACTGCTCTTAGCCCTTTCCTGCCACAGGGCAACCCCCAGAAGGAAACCAAGCTGCCTTACACCAAGAGAATCAAAGAATCCCCTGAATATGAGCAACAGCAATAAATAACATATTTTCTAACACTTAAACAAAAGGGACTGGCGAGAAAGAAAAAGAACTTGAAAGAAGGCCAGAGAGAGAAACAGTGAGGAGGAAGGAAATCGGCCTTCACTGAACAGGATGAGGGATACAAAGACACCAAAACACCACAGAGCATGGGTCCCCAGGAGGGTGTGGAGGAGAAGGGAGAAGGAAAGGGGAACCAGGAAAGAGCATGCTGGCCTCTGGCTCGGGCACCTGGCTCTTCGCCCAGCACACAATCTGAGGTCACTGAGGGCAAACTCCTGGAGCAAGGCCCAGCTCTCCAGATCTGACAAGAGTGCCCCCTCGGAATGGAGGTTCCCGAGAAAGCACAGTTGGAGGCCCAGGGGTGAAGGGCTGGGAACGGGAAATGGAAAGCTTATCCCAGAGTGCTCAGACTCACAGAGCCTTGGGCCAAGGAACAGAGGGAAGAAGAGTGAATGCCCAGGGCTGAGCGTTGGCCTCAGCTGAGAGAGTGCAGGCAGTGCCAACCTCGCCTGGGTCAGCCTCTTTTCCGCTGTGGCATTGTGACAAGTGCTTAATCCCCACTATGTGCAAGGCACTACTACTGAACACTTGGTCACTCATCCTATACAATGGGGCACATGGAGTGCACACAGTAGGTGCTCAACCAGTACACATGGGACTGACTACAGAAGAGGCACTTGTCCGAAGCCAGGAACAACTGACGTCTGGCCAGGTCAAAAAAAAATGTCCTTTATCCAATAGACCAACTAGTAAAAGGTTTTCCAATAAAAAGCTGGTTAAGGGACCTGATAGGCTTGTGTTACATAAATCCAACTGTTCTATCCCACACGGCCTTGGCACTAAGCACAAAGCCTGCTCCCAGCCCTCCCCGGGCCTCTCCCTGTTCACATGCAATTCACACCCTCTGGGGGCTTTGAGTGTCACCAGGTTGCTCCTGCACAGCTAAGTCCCCTCAAAGAACTGGAGGAAGCAGCCAGCCATACTGCACATGGCTCTCAGAGGACCCAACAATTTGTACTGTCTCAGGCTTGAGCCAGACTGTTTCCTATCTTCTTACTGGACCCCCCCGCGGAGAGCTGGGACAGAGGAAGGAAAAGGGTCATGGATGCCATTTTACAGATGGGGAGACGAGGGCTCATCCCAAACAAGTGGGATAAGTTCTTGGAGCCTCTGACTCCAACGCCATGTTCTTTCCCTAAAATAACACAGTGTATTTACTCACTCTGGAAATATTACCTTTGCAAAGAGAATGACTGCTAACCTACAACCTGAGTATATTCAAAGACATTGTTTCCAGATCATTAACTATTTAGAAAGGATGATATGGGCCAGAAAAAAAAAAAATAACCCTTTAGGAGGCAGAGCTAACTGAAAATCAAACAGAAATAAAGCAGCTAAGACTGATCTGAAATTAGAACTTCAGACTACATTCTGA